TTTTTAGGCATTATGAATTTTTACAAAAACACTCCTCCTTTTAAAGTATAAGGGTTTTTTAGGCATTATGAATTTTTACAAAAACACTCCTCCATTTAAAGTAGTATAGATTTAGCTGCAATTTCGGTCCTCTAGCCGTCAATTATATATTTGGGATGGATTTTGATTCGTAATTTAAGTCACGTATTATAAATTTTGTTGCAATGTCAGTTCTTTTGACCGTTAAAATTGGAAATTTTATGGGTTAGAGGATTGAAATTGCCGTAAAAAATATAATTATGGGACTTAAATTGCTTAATGACACTCTAAATTGCTACCTTAATAGGACAAAAATTGCAGCCTAAATATGTGTGCCTTGCTTTCACTGTTGTTTTCTAATTTGAGATGATTAGAAGATCAATGCCAGTCAAATAATGTTACTCTTCATTAAAAAAGATTCTAATGCACATATTATACAAACCAGACAGCAAAGATTTGCAACAATTTGGCTATGGCCGTGAGTATGCTTGGGGTCTCGGAAGCCTTTGCACTCGGGCAGTCTTTGGGCATTACAGCCACTACTTTGACCAAGATATTTAACTCTTCAAGTGCTCGATGTTGGAGCAGGTAATTTGCTATGTATGTCCAAGAATTTTCGCTATACGGTTAAAGTGTTGGAAGGAAAAAAAGAAAAGGGAACAATTGGTTCGGTGAAATAAATTAATTGCAAATATCTCTAAATTTGCACGACACATGATTGTGTTTGTTAAGCATATAAGCTTGCTTATAGCTTATTTGATTAGCTTATAAGCTTCTTGTGTTCAAATAAGCTTCGTTTGGTTGGACAAACTTTTTAAAAAGCTCGAGCTTATCTCAGTTTGGCTAGTTTTTCAAATAAGCTCGTTGAAATTTTAATTTCAACTAGCTTATTTCAGTTAATTTTACCAAACACTTCTATCCTAATTTTTCAGCTATAAGTCATAAGCTATCAGCTATAATCTCGAAATTCAGTTAAATGATACTTATCAGCTATGAGTTTATAAGCGTATAGCTAGGTTTACTAAACATATTCATATATGACTTACTGAATACAGTAAAATAATCGATTTTCGACAGTGATACTTATAATCCGGTGCCTGGAGTGATGAATGGTGTGCCAGCATCTAGGGATTATTACGGCGGATTTGCCACTAATTTAATGGTATGATATATGGTTCAAATTTTGTACATTTGCGTCAAGTTATTTTGTTGAGTTATTAATTGCATATCAATACATTTTCATTGTAACTTTTTTTTTAATGTGTAGGCTAAAGATCTGAACCTTGCAGCGGCTTCAGCTAAAAGGGTCGGAGCCAAAAGCCCAATGACCTTTTTAGCCGACGAGATGTGAGTTTACCTTTTTTTTTTTTTACCATCCAAATCGTACTTATTTATCTGCTCTCTTATTATTTTTATTGCGCAGATTTTCTGAACTTTGCAATGAAGGTCTTGGAGCGAAGGACTTCTCGTGCGTTTTCCGGCATTATTTTTCAGGCAAGGATGAACTGTAATTTCATCTCACGGGTCGACAGCTTGATAGGAAAACTGCGGAACATCCATATCAAATTCGGGGTCGAATAAAATCCTAATTCTTCTACCAAATTGAATAAAGAGGATGAAGCATGGGATTTGAAAAATATAGTAGAATAAAATCATACATTATTAAATAAAATTGTATTGTTCTGATTAAACTATGTATTGAGTTGATTTATACATATCTTCTTCTCTACTATAGAGGATTTGATAATTTAATTTAAGAAGAATCTTGGACAATATCTAGTTAATGAATAATATCACTAATATAGTTCAACAATTTCAGAATTGAACTATATTAGATGAGTTGATTTGATTCGTGATTCGAAATGGGAGTTCCGTCGAATATTTTGATAATCAAAATACTCTAATTAATCATAAAAATGATAATTGAAGGATGAATTAAATGGTGAAAAACTACTACACAAGATTGGGATCATAATTTAATGGAAGAATTAAAACATATAAAATGCAAATCTTAATACATCTCATAGTATCTAATTTTTTTACCTGGAATGAAACACCCTTATTGATAAAAATAAATAAATAAATAAAATATTACGAGTTATTTGCCAATTTTGGTAGAATTTAATAATAATAATAATAATAATAATAATAATAATAATAATAATAATAATAATAATAATAATAATAAATAAATATGATATTTTTTTCCACAATTTATTTCGAATAATTTTTAAAGTAATATAAATTAAGAAGTTAGCTAACCAAAAATTTTTGAATTTTTTTATATAAATAAAAAGAAACCCAAAATGAAAAAAGAAAAAGAGAAAAAGAGACGCCGTTTAGATACCAACGGACACTTTATATAACGGCTAGTCGCCCCTTTCCCTGATGATGACTCTCTTTTCCCACTCTCCGGCGGCCACAGAGAGCTCTATTTTCTCCGTTTAATTTCCATCTGAGTATCAAGAAAACACTTTTCTTTTTTTAAATCGAAATCCCATTTCTGTGTGCCGGCCGTAGAATTTTTCCTTTGCAAAGAGCCAAGATATTCTTACTCGTTCGTCGCGAAAAAAAAAAGATCAAAATGTCTAGCATTAACGATTTTAATCATCAGGGGGGCGAGTACTTTTCTCAGCCGAGAGGTTTCCTGACGCCGCCGCCGGCCGGGAGGGCGAGCCGGTGCTTTCCGGCGATGCCCGCGTCGGAGAGGAAGCCGGGGAGGCCGCCGCTGCTGCCCAAAAGCGATCTCTTTCACGTCATCCACAAGGTCCCTTCCGGCGACTCGCCGTATGTCAGAGCAAAACACGTTCAGGTGAAAATTATCCCTCGGCCCTTTTACGAATCTTCTTGTTTTCTTATACATTAATCGCAATTCTTGAATTTCTATTTTTTTCGTATTTTTTGTCCTCTTTATTTCGCTAAGTATGGATTTTTGTGTGTGCTTTCGTTGTGGGGTTTTGAAGTTAAGCACTTGTATAATGTGTTAATTTGAGAAAAAATTGATTCTTGATAAAACTGTGGTGTGTAATTATATGTGATTGTTGTGTTGGTTTACTGATTTACTGATAATCGACAAGGATTTTTTGTGTGCTTTCGTATGTATTTTATATATAGAAATTGGGATTTCTGATAAAACTGTGGTGTGTAATTACTAATTGTATGTGATTATTGTGTTAGTGACCGATTTACTTATGCGAAAATTTGTGTGAAAATGAGCAGCTAATAGACAAAGATCCAAGCAAGGCTATTTCCTTGTTCTGGGCAGCTATAAATTCCGGTGATCGAGTGGATAGCGCCTTAAAAGACATGGCGATTGTAATGAAACAGTTGGATCGATCGGAAGAGGCCATTGAAGCCATCAAATCCTTCCGAAATCTTTGTCCTCACGACTCTCAAGAATCTCTCGATAACATATTACTCGAGCTTTATAAGGTGAATGAGTATATTAATCCTGTCCGGATTATGATTTACGAGTGCTTTTTATGGTGGAATAATAGGAAATAGATTGAAAATTTAATTCTGAACTGTCGAATGCAGCAATCTGGCCGGACAGAGGAGGAGATTGAAATGCTTAAGATAAAACTGAAGCGTGTGGAAGAAGGAATGGCTTTTGGCGGGAAGAGAACGAAAATAGCGAGATCTCAAGGGAAGAAAGTTGAGGTCACGGTCGAGAAAGAGTATTCGAGGTTTGTATAAACAACACAAATTCATTACTTCACATATTTTTCTTATTTGGAAATTTTGAACGAAAGATCGTTTTCTTTATATAAAATAAATGCAGGCTGTTAGGGAACTTAGCTTGGGCTTACATGCAGCAGAAAGACTTCAAATCTGCAGAAGAAAACTACAGGTATAATCCTTTTTTTTTCTTTTAATATTCTTTTTCAAGAAATTTAACCAAGATGATTGTAGATTGTAGATATAAATATAATAATCATATGATAATTTTTTTTTTTTT